GATGTATTCCCAGAAGACCTTCCAGGTGTACCACTCGCACGGCAAGTTGAATTCCGGATCGACTTGGTCCCTGGAGCTACCCCTGTCGCCAAAGCAGCGTACTGCTTAACACCGACGGAAATGCAAGAATTGTCCAGCCAACTGAACGAACTTCTGAGCAAAGGGTTCATCAGACCGAGCTTCTCACCTTCGGGAGCACCGGTTCTGTTCGTAAAGAAGAAGGATGGGTCGTTCCACATGTGCATTGACTACCGAGAGCTAAACAAACTCACCATCAAGAATCGATATCCTCTACCATGAATCGACGACCTCTTCGACCAACTTCAAGGAGCAAGCTACTTTTCAAAAATCGATCTGAGGTCGGGCTACCATCAACTACGAGTTCAAGAGGATGATATCCCCAAGACAACTTTCAGAACTCACTATGGTCACTACGAGTTTGTAGTGATTCCCTTCGGATTAATGAACGCACCTGCGGTGTTCATGGACCTAATGAACCGAGTGTGCCGAGCTTACTTAGACAAATTCGTGATTGTATTCATCGACGATATTTTGGTCTATTCGCGGTGCAAGGAAGAACACAACCAACACCTACGACAAGTACCGGAGACATTGAGAGTGGAAAGGCTATACGCTAAATTCTCTAAGTGCAAATTCGGGATCCAAGAAGTGGATTTCCTTGGTCATGTGGTCAGCGAAAAAAGGATACACGTGGATCCCTCCACAATTAAAGTAATCGAAAATTGGGCAGCACCGACAATGCCGACGGAAATCCGACAATTTTTAGGGCTCGTTGGCTACTACCGAAGATTCCACCACTAGAAAAACAACCTTTTACGACGTGCAAACAATGACACGCAGTGATTTACGGTACGCAAAAGCGTGCGCCCGAAAAATAATGTCATCTCTTCTAAAATTTGAAGGATAGAGGACACGCATTTGTGTGTGCCTTGAAATTAGTGTCAGAAAAGAAAAAAATACAAACACGGAGGGTGCTTATCTTAATGTGTGTCCTCTTCAAATGTTACTTTATATTTTTTTTTGCTTAAACACACGTTTTTAAAGGGGGAAAACGAAATCGTCTTAAATTCTAAAATTTTGAAGAACCCCGCGTCTACCCTCTCTCCTCAGTATCTCCCTTCATTCACTCCTTCCTTCTCTCTGTAAACCCTAAGCCATCGCCACCGCCACCGCCATTGAACCTTAAAAACTCAATCCACACTTCACCTTCATTCACTCAATCCGGCCCTTTAATTTTAGCAAACCCACCAGAACCCTAGGTCTTGCCTTTTATGCTTTCACAACCTTCCTTCCTAGTCGTATGTTATTCTGAATCCTTATTTCTTTTCTTTATAACGAACGCGCCTCTATCGCATCGCCCTGCTCACCGTCGTCGTGTTAGGCTCTTACGCCTCCATCGTGGTCTCTGTGCTTATCGTATCATCATACATGCAGCCTCTTCTCGTCGTTCTGCTCCTTGACCCTACGCAGGTAATATCATCAGTACTCCCTTACTGGTCATTCTTGTTCTTATTCCCTTTTTTTGTTGTTTTTCTGATTCCATCTCGATATCAATTTTCTAACCGCCCCACTGTTCCAGATGGCCTCCGTTATGTTATCGAGTTGTTGTAACGCCCGTAGATCCGGGCTAGTCAATTTAGAGACGATAAGCATCAAAAATGACTTTTTTATGGAAGATTATTTAGAAGGATTAATCTTAACTAAGTTGTAGTATATGTTACAAGGATTTCGTACATATAAAGAACGCCGAAATCCGAGTTATAACGAAGAAGTTATGACCTGTCGAAGTTTCGCGACAGAACCGACATGACACAACGCGACATAAATAGTGAATTTACGTTCGAGCAATATTTGGCCTTAGTGATCTAATGAAAGTCGTAGAATACGTTAAACCGAGAGCGTGCATAAAAAGAACGCCCAAATCTGACTTCGTATGAGGAAGTTATGATTTTTCGAAGTTTCGGCTTAGCAGTGTACAGCCCGAAGTTCGAATATGAGATCGAGCGATATTTAGTCGAAACAATCTAAACGAGAATTGAAGATCTCGTCGATAGTAGTCCAAAGACGGAAAGACAGATGAAAACGGACGTCAGACGAAGGAGTTATGAGTTTATAACGGAGTTTTCCTGTCCCGACCTACTAAAAATAATATAAAAATAATATAATAAAAATAAAGTCAAAGTTAGCCAACAAAGTCTAAATAAAAGTTGTAGATCTTGTTTTTACCTACGAGTCGATATAAAGAACGTCGAAAACGGAGCTCGTATGCGAAAGTTATGAATTTCTGAAGTTCAGGGCGCGAACCCCGATACTGTGTCAGAGTTCACGACGTGAATACAGTGTTCACGACGTGAACTCAGTGATTTGACCTTTCAGAGCCTGTCAGACGCAACCTGTGATGACGCATGCAGTGACGACTAAGTTCACGATGTGAGAACTTAAAATTTACGACGTGAGAGCTGAAAAATGACCCTATAAATAGAAATCGAGGGTTAGCCGATTTTGGTTGCTCTATTTCTTCTCTCTCACTCCCGATACTCTCTCTAAGCCCTATTTTAACCCCCCGAAGCCCCGATATCATCCCGAGACCCGAAGCGAGTCCCGAAGATCCCGAGGAGAAAGGAGTTTCCGAGCCGAAGCTCTGCCTGCGAGAAGCCAGGTATTTGAAGATATTCTAGTTTCACCGAAGAGCTACTACTCTTAGAGCCGTAGTGCTGTCCGATCATCTTCTGATCAAGTGAGTGTATAGTCCCTTTCATAAACACGATCTTAGTACAAGTATTTGTTTGAATGTATTATATCTATGTTATGAGTGAGTGTATAGTTACTTTCTTCTAACATATAAGTATTAAGTATTTGCTACGAAATACGTGTTATGTGTTTATATATTGTTGTTTATTTGAGATAAGCGTGGAATGGATGTTTTATACAGGTTTTAAATGAGTTAAACTGTATATGTATGTTATATCTACAAATATGTTGGGTAGAATATGGGTAGACGAATTAGTTGGTGTGTGATGATGGATGAGTTTGAGGATGAGACGAAAGACGAACCTTGGTAGCTATGGACTTAGTACCTACACTGGTAGCTATGGATTTAGTACTGTAAAGATAAACCTCGGTAGCTATGGATTTAGTACTGTATAGATGAACCTTGGTAGCTATGGATTTAGTACCGTATAGACGAACGCTGGTAGCTATGGATTTAGTACTGATAGATAGACGGTGATAGCTATGGATTTAGTACTATTAGATAGACGATGATAGCTATGGACTTAGTACATGTTAGATAAACGTTGGTAGCTATGGACTTAGTACCTACACTGGTAGCTATGGATTTAGTACCCGATGATTGAGCCATAGCAGCTATGGAATTAGTGCTTTACGAAAGAACCTTGGCAGCTATTGTCTTAGTGCCTAATAAAGAATCCTGGCAGCTATTGTCTTAGTGCCTAATACGGAGTGAACGAATAGATGACTCTTAGGGTAGACCCTTAAGAGTAAGGAAGATAATGGGGATGGGTAATTAGAATGATCGTTTGATGATTGAATATATATATATATATATATATATATATACATATATATATATATATATATATATATATATATATATATATATATATATATATATAAGATATAATATTGTGGGTTGAAAACCCTATATGTTCACCAGGCTCCCAAGCCTGACCCACTCAGTTTTCTTTGTATTACAGGTTGTGGCACAAGAGCATAAGTTGGCTGACGTAACGAGAGATAAGGATTATAAGGCCGTAGTTATAATTAACTGTGTAAGGTCTATGTTGTTCTGTTTATGCTTTTGGTCTGTATTGAACATGACATCCCGATATTTTGTTATATAATGAAAATACATTTCTTTGAAGAAATGCTTTGATAAATTCTTATCATGTTTTGTTTTGGGAACAAATTCCGCAACTGTTTTCTGTAAAAGATTACTCTGATTTTAAAAACAAAGCATAAACAAATCGGTCTTTTCTGGCCGTGAAATTGGGGATGTCACAGTTGCCAATTTCCATTAGCTAGTAACTTTTTGGCACAATAGTTTGCACTCATCTTGCCTGTTCTCCTCTTTGTATTCTCTCGATCTCAATATATGTTCTTCATATTCTGTTGAATGATGTTTGTTTTGAATTTTGATTTTTACTATGAAATTTGAGGGTTAGTTTAATGCAGTTTATAATTGTTGATATCGAGCCTACGACCTGTTTATTTTTACTTTTTCCTGGTCCCTTTTATCTTACTAAATTATGTGCTTTTTATGTTTTTGATGAATCTTGATTTGTTGGAAGGATGAATTAATGTTGACAGAGTGGGGTTTTTTTTTTTATTATTATTTTTTTATGAACACCACTTGTTTGATAAATTTCCCCAATGAACAAGCAAAAGTACAATTGATGTCCTATGTGTTTCTGAAATTTGTTGCCCACTTAATTTCAGAACAATTGAAACTTATGCATCCTTTACTCTTATGCTAATTCCAGATGCAGCACCGCCCCACACCCACAGCTGCCTTCAACACCACCACTATTACTATTGATCATATCCAACAGGTCTCTCTCTCTCTTATAAGTTACAATAGTGGCTACTTTTTAACTTAATGGCTGTTTTTAAATTGATTTGTGCAGTATTTGGATGAAAATAAGGCACATATCTTGAACATTCTGGAAAATCAGAGTACAGGAAAGTTCAGTGAATGTGCAGAGTGAGTCTACTTTTTTCTTAATTGTATAATTGTATTCTTCCTCCAATATTTTATGGACATAAATAATGATAAAAACTATGCTCTTTTTATCCAGAAACAAAACAAGGCTACAACACAATCTCATGTATTTGGCTGCAATAGCCGACTGTCAACCAAAGTCATCTTCTACTCAACTCCAGATTATATATATACCAACATACATAAGACTAGTGTTTCTTTTTTATTTTCTGTTGATAATCATAGTAAGATGCTAAAGATGGTATACACGAAGTCCATGCAGCAACAACAATTGCAACAGATGGTCCCTAATTCCCATATGGTAGCTCAATCACACACAGTGTTCCCTCAGAAACCACCCTTTACAATGATACAGCAGCAGCAACAAGACGTGTTACAGAGCCAACTTGGCATTGGCAGTGGGATTCAGGCCCCACGAAGTGGAAGTGGGACCAGCATGGAAGGTCAAGGATGTGGAGTTTTTCCTGATTTCAGCTTTGGCGATGTACCCTCCTCACATGGCGTTACTAGGGCAGCAACAGTAAAGTGCAGAGCAGATAATCATATTTGATGACCTTATCTTATTTTTTATGACATTGAATGGAATATTCATATAATTCTGTCCACATTTTTTGTCTATTGACTAACAGATGTCAAATAAAATGGACTTTGATGCAGAATTGAAATTGTGAATATTGGGACAATTATTAAGTCAACTGCTATCTCTATTTATCAAATGAACTCAACAAATTGTGCACACAAAGGGCATCAACAGGTTCTTATAGTTTCTTGATTTTGCTAAAAGCATGTTCCCGATTACTCTATTTATCTTTCCTTATTTTTTTCAGTTTGTCTGTAGGAATGCTTGACCATATCATTAACTTTCTTTTGAACAATGGAATCATGACAGAGTTCATGGAATCTTCAAAGGCTTGTATCTTGATACAGATAGATTAAAAAATTAAGTTGATAGAGTCAAGTTTTTAATATGTGGATTTAAAAAAGAATTATGTTTCAGATTTTTCGGATGTGGTAGGTAAAGCCTTAATCCAAATTAACTTTCTTAAAATAATTTTAACAAACCAAAAGCAGAATTGGGGAAAAGCATTATATATTTGTCATGGTGAAACTGTAAAAGTAAACCTTTTAAAGATAGGATTCCCTTTTCCCTTTGCCCTTTGCCCTTTGGGTTTTGGCATACAATAAAACACAGATACCCTTCTAGGGTTTACATTATGTCTACTATTGTACAACTCATTAAATCAATGCAATGTTTCACTTAGAGTTTTCATGTGTTCAGAAAATCTGAACCCTAATTAGGGTAAGTGATGAAACTACTCGATAATACACTATTGCATACCTTTCGGGGGCGCATAACATCTCATAACGAGACATAACGAGGCTTACAAACCTTGCATTGTGAGGCTAAACACTAACAAAGGTTACAAACGATATCACTCTAAATCTCTCTCACTCTATGAAAATCTCTCCCAAATCTCTCTCAAAACATCATTCAACTTTTTATAATCATTCGAGGGCATCCCGACCCTTAACATAGGCAAAAACCACACGAAACGTGAAGTTTATAGTTAAAACAACCCTATAGGACCGAAGCCTTAATGGAATCGAGCCTCCAAAACCGAAACACCTCATTGGACCGAAGCTTCCTTATGACCGAACTGCATAAGACCGAAACTACTTATGGGACCTAACCCACTTTCGGTTCGGATGAATCGCTTCGGTTCGACTCCAATTACTCCCGGTTCGGTTCGCTCCACCCCGCCTTCGGTTCCCTACTCGACCAACTTCGCTAGCCAGACCCTCGGACCGAAACTCCTTTCGGTTCTCATTAAACAACCGAACCTACCTTCGGTTCTAGTTGCTGAGACCGAACCTTCGGCCCTTACTTCGGATCCTCACCACTTTTTCCCGGTTTTCGACCCCGACTTCGTTTTAAGCCCGTTTTCGATGATTTTCGCACGGGATTTTCGTATAAATCCATATTTTATTATTTTTAACCTTCTAAGATCATAAAATATGCATATCCTAAGGATTTTCTTATTAAAAAATCCACACTTTTCTTAAGAACAAAGGCAAGGTACAAAAGGTGATCTTTGATTTTTCCCATAAAGCTATGACACCTTCAGTTCACTATTCATGCTGTATGTCACTATTGACATCAGCCTTGTCAACTCTTTGTACCCTTAAAACTTCCTCAACAAGTTTCACTAATCCTCACACAATCAAAGAGTCCATATTCTTCCCACATCTACTAACTCTCTTTCACTCACACATTAAGCTAAACTCTTTTCTCTCTCCACCTCTCTCCAAGATTTCGAGATTCTCCAGGGGTTTTGAGCTTTTCATCCTCTTCTGGTAAGTAGATTTCATCCTTCACTTTATCATCCTACACTTCTTCACTCAAGTCAAGGATTTCTCACATAAATATCGTCATATTTGTTGCTAGATCTTCAAATCTTCGAGCATCTCCCAAGTGTTCTTGACTTGGAAACTTCTTCTCTTCAACATCCATCCTATGAAATCACTCAAGGTGAGTTCATACCCCTACATTTTCATGTTTTCTTCAAGTTTTAGGTGGGGGGGGGGGATACAAGCTATAACAGGAAAAATTTAACTTAAACTTATACTTCAGCTTTCATCAGAAAAGTTGAGGTCCATTCACGGACTTTTTTGAACACCTTAAACATTTTAGTTTTCAAAACGGTACTACGTACAAATATTTCAGGTCCATACCTTTAAAATGACTACTTTCACAAGTTCATACGATTTTTCTACAATTTATGGCGATTTTTACAAAACAACCTATCATTTCTGAAACAATTTCGGACCAGTATGTGAAGTTGGTCATTTTTACACTAGTTAAATGTCACTAAAAATTATAATAAAATTTGTGGACAAACTATACACATTTTCCAAACTATCAGAATTTACGGATTCTGATTTGGACCTTTGATGATTTTTCTGTAATTTTTCTAATATCAGGAACAGAAAAAGTTAAAACTAGAAAAATGATAACCATTTCATTTACACCTTGTAACTTACTGAGCAAGGTGTGTATTATTATGTAAACATATGTTGTTATATTATATGATATTTTACCTTAGGAAAAAGGTATTAAATAGAAAACAAAAGGATTTACGACTCTACAAACAATTGATAAACTATTATAGGCATAGTTTATGTTCACTACACTACAAACATTTGATAAACTATAAAAGATATAGTTTATGTCCATTACATTACAAACATTTTGATAAACAATAATAGGTATAGTTTGTGGTTCATTTACATTACAAACTCATACTAAAGGTTTCATTTACACTAAAAGAGTTTTCATTTCGCTATACGTAAATCCGTTAATGAATAAATTGTGAGACATTCGCTTCACGTTACTTTTCAAGTAATGCATTTTAAGTCCTGTATTGTAACCAGAGTCTCTTGTAGGGAGAGCGTGATAGTTGTGAATAGATCTATATTGGATTTGACAAACGCACACCTTAGCTGCATGCAACAGCTAGACCGGCAGTTCTGGGTTGACAAATGTCATAACATTTCCGACGCCTGAAGAACGTCGTCACAGGCCATCTAGGTCAGAACATGGTTATAATAACTCACATGGAATATTAACAAAACATAAGATTTACGGGAATTTCATTAAAACAAACGAGTTATGTCTCTTTAAACTTGCATGTTTTACTATAAGTATGGAAATTACTTGTACATTTCAGTCTTTGGATTTTAAGACTACAATTCACTCTTTAAGGAAAATATTGGATTTTTCTGGAACAAACGCCACTTTTACAATGAAAGGTTTTCAACACTACATTCAAAAGCTTATGAACTCACCAACTTAATTGTTGATACTCTTTCAAAACTAGTTGTATTCTCAGGAAATCAGTAAAACAGGTAACCAGCTGCTTTTGAGGATGGGACGCTAAGACGTCAAACAAGTTATTTTGTCATCATAATGTAATTGATTTTGAAACATGTAAACTTATACTATGATGTAACTTTTTCAATTATATTTATGATGGTTATGTTTGCTTTGATCACTATGATACTTTATGTTATGATACTATACATGAAGTCAGTTCCCACCCCCGGACGTTTCCGCCATCCTTGGTTTGGGGGTGTGACAATTAGGGTTTCTTTAGATCTTTAAGAGGTTTATGGAGGCTGAGGGTGAGCGAACCCTAGTCTCCTCATTCCTTTAAATAGGAAGCTAACCCGTAAAAAAAGGGTTATCAATCAGTCAACTTCTATGTCGTGGCCGTATATTGGCATGTCGTGGCGGCGTAAATGAAACATGCATTCCAAATTGTTTCACCACGTCGTAGTGGTGCCTCCACCACGCCGTGACAACCCTAAAATGCCAAAACTTAAAAACATAAAGTACCTCATGATTCGGGCGTTACACATTAACAATGACAAACTAACTACTTCTAGTGTCTCTGGATCTAACAAATCCCAATCTCAATGTTTCATCGGTTATGGTTTTGTTTCACTCAAGGATACGTGTAAGTTATTTTGGTAGAAATAATATTCAATCTACATCTTCCAAAAGCCGAAATCATGGTCTCTAAATTTATCGATCTTAATAAACTCATTTTTAGTTATAACTCAAACCCTAGTGTTAAGAAAATAATACACGAGGGACATTAAGAACTTCGACAAACACATAAAATAGGATAATTATGATACTAAGAAGATTAGAAAATAACAGAAAGGGATTTAATGTGGTTCACTTGATTTGAGAAATCAGGCTACATTTATAGGAAAGACTAAAGAAATATTTTATTGATAATCAATGTTATGCCCTTTGTATGGATCCACTGAAACTATAAATTGAAACTCACTTATGTGCACGTATTTGGTTACAATCCATAAGATGTATTATAGTGTCGTTGACCTAAATATTTTTGTTTACGGTCATCGACCCATTACAATGGCTGGTCCATAAGTAAACTTGTTCTCCATGTTTATAGGCAACACGAAGCTCTGGGCCAGGAGCTATTACTCTCCTACTACTGAAAGAAGGACTGAAGCATAGGAACACCAAAGGTGGGAGTATACCAAAGGAATGAAAACACCAAAGGTGCAATTTTGCCTATGTAGCAACACTTTGTTTGGCTTTGCTGCCAAATAGACTACGCTTCTCCGCTTGGATCACCCTTCAGTTCTAAGTCAAAGCTCAACCTTCTATCCAAATATGAAATAAACCTTCACTCCTAAGCCAAAGCTCAACCTTCTACTCTGGTCACAACCGAGACTAGGTCGAAGCGGAGACTGCGCTTCTAGTATGCTTCGCCCCTTGGGCCAAAGTTGCAACAGATTCTCAGCCTTTACAATGAAGATCAAACTCCAGAACTCAACTTTGAAAACAATTATGCCTCGACTAAATAACATAGTGCAACCTCTAACTTCTATAAAGGTCGTGGATTCCAAATTGCCCCTTACAATCAGTTTTGGTTGGTCTCCACTTAATTTTCCAGTTTAACACCTTTCAAATTTTGCGAAATTTCTGAGATAGCAATTTCTTTGATTATATTT